ATTGTAATTCTAAGGACAACGATTTTTTTTTTTCCACTACCCATCAATTACAATCACATTTGGCCCGTCGTGTTAGTGATCCGTGGACCACCATCAATTAGCTCGTTATGATCGATTTGGGAAAAGATAACTCCTCTTGCTCGAGCTCGTTTTGCAAAACTATCCGCCCGGACATTTAGATCCCTCGGAATATAAGATAAAATGCACTCTGAGAAGCTCTCTTGTATGAGGCGGAAGGTGTCTAGCTCTGCATTGAAGGACGGCCAATCAACTGGAAACTCAGTCATACGCATCAGATCCGAACAGTCGGTCTGAAAGTGAACCGAAAGTATTCGTCTCTCTCTCAAGCAGGACATAGCCCAGAGGAAGCAATCCATCTCAGCGTGGAGGGCCGATAGGCTTCTACGGCATCCCTGTAGACCAAAAAGTTCAATTCCTCCGCCATCCACAAAGCTCCATCCGAGGCCGCTAACATGTCCGTGATTGATCCAAGAGGCGTCAATCCGGCATATTGGGATTTGTGGTACCTCGGGTATCGCAATCGTGTCCGGTGGAAGGGCTACTTCCTCAACTTGAGCGTCGTCGCTGTCCTCAGGTTGGTTCGCAACCCTCCAACTTTCTGCTTCCACTTTTGCATGTATCCATGTATCCTCCGGGGAAATTTCTTTCCCTTTGAAGATCTTCTTGTTCTTTGCTTTCCAAATAAACCAAAGGATCCAAGGATAAATATCCTTTAAAGGATCCGTCATGCCTATCTCTTTTAATTTCCGAAAGAGGAAGCTCATATTTTGATAAATAGAAGTACTCGGGAAGAGACCCGGAAGGGACGGAAAGTCCGATAACGCCCAGACTTGTAACGCCGGGGGACACAAGAACAGAAGATGGTTTATAGTCTCCTCGGGATCCCCACATCGGGGACAATGTTTGTCTGAGCTCATATGTCGGTAGGTAAGGTTTTGGCATGTTGCGACACACCCGGAAAGAGATAAGGACAACGATTTATGAGAACATAATCTGAATTTTGGAGAAAGATTTTCTTGAAATTTTGGAGAAAATATGTTTCACTCAACTTTTTTTTGGTGTTATATGAGCAAAGATGGTGGTCATATGGATGTACAAGTGTTTTGGGATGATGTAATCTTGTTCTATAGATGCGGTTGGAAAAACTGCGTTTGGACCGCTAAAACAGATGGTGTTTATCTTTGGAATTCTGTGATCGGCGAGGATGTGTTGTCAGAGAAATGGGAAGTAGGATGTTGAAGACGTTTTTTAGTAATTTTCTTATTAGATGAATATCATTGATTTACGCAGAAAACAACAATTTAATATATAATAAAGTTTCGTTTCTTTGTAACAATAATAATAAGTTTTTATTGTCAAATTTTTTGGGTACTATCCATCATTGATATAGTTTTGTTTTGAGTTTTAAGAAAAAATAATTGTTAATATACAAGCGGATTAATATGTAGAGAGACTACAAAAAATCACAAATTATCGATAAACACTCATTAAAATTATTTTATTTTATATCCATTATTCAAAAATATATCGATTTAATTTTTTGGGAACGATCGTTGGTTCAACATGTCGGAATGAGATTAGTAAGCCATTCTTGATTAGTTGTTATCTAAATTCAAAATTTGTATATTAGCCATTTTCATGAGTTTTATTACTATATTCAACCAATCATTTCTTAGAAATTTTAAAAATTCTTTGATTTTTTGTTATTATTATCTCTGCTTTTCGCTCCACTCAAAACTTATAAAACAATCAACTGAACCAAAATGTTTTTTGTTATACCTGATTTTATAAAAAATGACAAAAAATATATTTTAAAAGTAATACAAAACCAATTTGTAGATTTGTTGCTCTACTGTAAATATGTGATTTCCGTTGATTATATGAACTCAATAATCGGTACTTTGAATTCATTTGTTTTTTATAAATGGAAGTTTCTGCTGACGAACAAGATAGCAATCATAAACTCAACCGATTCAGATTATATTAATGAAATACATATATAATATATAGTTATATAAATTATGATTTTGAGAAAAACTATAAACTGAATGCATTTACACCAAAGAATTTGTTTTAGTTTTGTTGACATTTGCATAAATAATTTTATCTTAGAAAAAATATCTTTATTTCAAACATATTTTGGCAACATTTATTTAACAAATATTAATATTATGGCACTTATGTGCAATATCTTTTAAAACTTATATAAGATTATCCAAAACAAATACATGTCAAAGAGGTGGCATCTGGAGACAATTTGATGCATTTTCCACCTATAAATGGTACTTCAAGGCAATGTTGATTGCAGTCTGGAAACTTCTCGCATGGACCTTGGACAATGTGCCTAGTTCTGTCGTGATCCGCTTTTGTAGATTCTGGAATTTATATTATTTTCGAAAAATTAGTATTATATTCAAAAACATAAAGATTCTTTGATATAATATATATGGATTTTTTCCATTTACGATGCCATATCATAATATATTTTCAAAACCTTAAATTTTAAATTGTTGGATTTCACTGGTTTTCATTGTATTTTAATAAATTATAAAACAACCAGATCTACTACAAGAAATCCACAAACTAGAAAAAGAGCACTGGCTTCATCACCTTACGAAATCTAAACTAACTATTTAAGAATTCGTCCGTTGTAGAAAAAAAAGCTCACCGTAAATGAAAAAAGAGACACAATCAACTAATAAAACAACATAAAAAAATAAGCTGAAAAAAATATAGCTCCTGCACTACGGAGGTTTTGACAAAAAAAAATTCTTCCAACTTTTTAAGTGGCTCACGTATAAATAGACATTATAATAATAAATAAAAAGAAAATATAATCAACACAAAAGCATAATATATATAATCCTTTTGGCATACCTGAGGTAAGTAGAACAACCAGACATAAGAACACAAGGAATAAGCATTTGCTCGATGAAGCCATTTTGTATTTAGTTTTATAATATATGCGGATGAAATTGAATAGTTCTCAAAAGCCTTCCCACATATATATATATATATATAAAGAAATTGAATATATATATATATATATATTATATGATGGATTCCTATAAATATTTTTCTATATAAAATTGGATTCACTAAAATTTATATTCTCTAGAATTAAAGATATGTTACTTTATAAAATTGGATTCACTAATATTTATAATCTCTAGAAATTAAAGATATGTTACATTATAAAATTGGATTCACTAATATTTATAATATCTACAATTAAAAATATTTACTCTGTAAAATTGGATTCAATCTAAAGTAAAGATATGTTACTCTAACAGATTCTCGTTTTTACTATATGCATATTTGTTGAATTATAGGATGGATGTAATGCTGATTTGATTCTAAAACCAAATATCACTAATTTGAGTGGAAAACAACCAAGGATGAAGTTTACAATCGTAGATTTGAATAGTATTTGGAACATAACTATATTATATGCTTTGATCCCGAATTTGGGGTTGTCCAAACATCGACTCAGGACTTTATAACCATAAAAAAATAAAGCAAAATTTTATTCCAAATTACTATTATCAAATGAGTGTTGTCTTTCCTTCTAAAGTACAACTAGATTTTACCTCGTACATCCGCACGAGAATTTTGTTTTAATCAAAATTTGTAATCTAATTTATGTTTTCTTTATAAATATAATTTTTTAATAAGTGATATAAAAAAAAATTGTGTTTAGATATAACTTTTTTTATTTTTTTCAGTATTATTATGACCATCATGATCATAAAAAATAATTTTAATCCAGTTATTTTATAATCAAAATGTGACTGTTATTATAAAAATATATTTTTAACTCGCTTATTTTATTAATCTGAAAAAGACCATGATTATGAAACCATAATTTTAATCCGCCCGTTTATATTATTTTATAATATAAATATTTATTAATTTTGAAATAATTTTTTCCTAATATCTTGCATGTTTTGATAATCTAACCCGCATAAGACCATAACTATAAAAAAAACTTAATTTATCCCATCAAATTATTATATAATATTAATATTTATCTATTTTTATGTAAAATTTTAATCTGATATAATATGATTAAAAAAATATAATAATATGTGTTAATCAGATGTGTTATTCTGAAAATCTTATTTAAATTTCAAATGTTAAATTAAATCTAACTAGTTAAGGAAATCTATTTAATTAATATCTATAGACTATAGATATACTCTATATTTAAGGAAGTTTTTAGTTATTTAAATTAATATATAATTTTCGGAATTCAACTAATATATATAAAAAAAATATTTTTTTAAAAAAAATTAGGAATGTTTGGAAACAAACACTAAAAGTGATTCTGTTTTAATATAATAGATTAATCATTGCAAATGTTAGGGGGTAATGTACAGGAGTTGTGGTTACAATTTTATTAATCGTTAGAATCAAGATTTTAAGGTATAGGATTATGTGATCATGCATATCATTGAAATCTATTTATATAGTTTTCAAAATTAGGTATAGGATACTACTTTTTAGAGCATAGATTTATGGTCTTTTATAAACTAACGCTCCTTCATTTTTTTTATATATTTCATATAATAAGCATCCTATAGATATATCAAAATAGCCCTCTAAAAAGTTAGTTTTTTTTTCACGAGTCTTAAGATCTTCTGGTCTGGTGGTTGTAAACTAGTGAGAAGAAGAAACGAGTTGTTTGAGTCAAGAGATTATTAAGATCCTTTTCAATATTCTCTGCCATCAAATATTCTCAACTTCAATTCTTGTTTGACATTGCGTGAGATCCTTTTCACTTGAACCAGAAGCTTCGATACGACTCAAGCCAAAATTACTTTTAACTATTGTCGAATTCTGATTATGTATTATTTTGAGTTTAAATTCTTTTCAAAATTCATGTGTATAGTTAAAAAAACAGTGAATTTACGAATCACCAATTTGTAGAGTAATAAGGTTTAACATGTTATCACTGATTTATATAAAGCTTGCTGGAAATATTTTTTATATGTAATATTTATATATCAGATTAACGACACATAAAATAGACCGACTAATTATTCAAAGCCATTTATAGAATGAGAATGAGATCAAAGACTCATATACTCATAAAATCCAATTTTTACATTAAAAGGAATCAAATTTCTTTAGCTTTGATCAATCCTTTTGACTCGAAATACTCTATCATCTGATCATACATCTCATTGATCCCATACTCAAATCGAAAGCCTTCATTGATGAGTTTTTCCGAAGATAGCGTCAGTTTCGCACTTGATAAACACTCTTCGAATCTGTCAAATTTCCCAACGAAAATTGATGAGATAAAAAAAAAGAAATTAGAATTTTCCATTAACATTTACTATTTTCTGTGGATGTAAAATACTTACTCTGACAAAACATTGTACTTAGGATATCTTTGTGTGAGAAAATCTGCAATCTCTGGAACACTTGTGTTGTAAGCACAGCAAATATAGCGACCAGAAGCGGTTTCTTTCTCCGCAAGAAACAAATGGGCACGAGCCAAGTCGTCCACATGGACGAACGAGATCGATCCAGATAGCTTCTGCATTTCCTTGAGACCGATCAGATGCATTTCTTTCCCTAACAACAAAACCAGTCATCTGGATTTCTTATTGTGAAACTTTAATATAAGGTTCTTAGCAAATAGTAAATCTGCGCATGTTTACCAGTGATTAAAGACATTGAGAGAGATAAACTGCTCGGAGGAGAATCGGAGAGGAGAGAGTTTCCGGCTATTAGTGCCGGAACCACAGTAACAAGATTGATCATATTTTCTTCTGCAAATTTACAAGCTGCCTTTTCTGCTAACATCTTTGAAATTGGGTAACCCTAGAAAAAGAACAGAGAGGTAACTAGGTAAGTATACTGGTAAGGAAAAACCTAGCTTGTGACGCAAGAAAAGTTGTAGTTACCCAGTTAAACGGCTTCTCCTTTGTGAGAAAATCAATGTCAGTCCAGTTTTCTTCGTTCATCACAAGTCCAGGTCCAGAAAGATTGTTGATGGAAACCGCAGCAGCTGAAGAAGTGTAGATGACTCGCTTGATTGATTTCGATTTTAAGCAAGATTTCAACACATTGATCACTCCTTGTATCGCTGGCTTGATCATGTCTTTCTGTATATTGAAACACAAACCAAGAGAATAATAGCTGAAATTTTGTTTTCTCTTAACGAGTCAAAAAGCATGTGCAATCTATTTAAGATCAGACCTCGGGATCTTCAGATGTAAAGTTGATCGGCGTTGCAACATGGAAAACGTATTCACAGCCAGAGATTGGTGAATTGAAACTCTCTTCATCGGTCAAATCCGCCTTGAAGATCTTGAGGTCCCCAAGTTCTTGAAGTAGCCTAAGGTGAGACATTTTCTTCTCATTTTCTGCAAATTCAGGATAAAGAGTCATTAAACATTCAAAATGCCTTGAGAAAAGAAAGAAATGAAGAACCTGGATCTCTAACTGTGGTGTTAACTTTGTAACCACTTTGAAGCAAATGCTTGATGAGAATAGAGGCCAAGTTTCCTGTGCCACCGATGACACAAGCCTTCTTTGATCCGGTGGTTACAATTGTCTGGTCCATGATTGTCATCTGATATTAGTTGTTAAACACAGAGATTGAGATATGGTTGTTATGAGTTTAGGGTCTCGAGTTATATAGGAAGTGAAAAGGAAAAGGCAAAGCTTATAGTCTCTGCTCATTTTGGTACAACCATTGATCAAAAAGGCCTTTTAGAAGGTAAGCACGTGATCTTTGAGACAACTAACTTGTTACCTTACCTAAGAATCACAAAAACAAGAAAAGACTCAAACTTTTCTTGACTAGCTGATTTGATGTATCGTCTACTCAGCTATCTGAAGACTATTGGGTTTTAAAAAGAGTTTGTTTTCTTTAATCAAAAAGATCTTTGACTTGAAGTTTTGCTTAGCAATTTCTGTGCAGTTTTGTACTAAAAGAACACCGAAAGTTTTAGACTCAACTCAACAAAATTTGTCCTCAATAAACCCATTTAATAAAAGTCCTAACTTGTTGGATCTTGTTCTTGCTTCACCGAATTGCATCAAGCTTGGCAGAATTTACTTCCATGGTGAGTTTATATATTAGCAACAAATCCGAAATAGAGAGAGTTTCATACGAGAGAAAACCACCAAAAAAAAAAACCAGAAAAATTACATAAGATAGATCCATAAAAAGGGAAGTAAAAAAGGGTAAATCCTAAGTTCAAAAAAAAAAAAAAGACAGGCATCATTGGCATTGCATTTTTTGTAAACCAGAGCAAATCTATATATCTAATGTCTTGTTCTTAGATGCTTCAGCGATCATAGAGGTCACCTCATGCAAAAACTGTGTCTTCTCCAACACAAATTCAATCTCCTTGGCCTGCAACATCTTCAACTTCTCTTCAACCTTCTTCTTGTTCTCAACCGGCACCAAACTCCATCTCTGTTTCACAGAATACTCATCAACACCAAAACTAGCTATGGACCGAGCAAGGAAAGAGTTTTCAAACCAATCAGGCTTCTTCACAGCAACTGGTAACTCCAAATCACCTCCATAAGCCAACACTCTCTTATCTTCCTCAACAGCTTTACCATTCGGAGAAGAAGCAAACGAAAGCTCTTGCTTCACAGAGTCTAGCTTCTTCGTCTTCTGGCTCTTTTTCGACACACCATTAGACTTAACTGCTGATTCAAGAGCCATTCCTTCAGGTCCCCAAATATTTTGACACAGCTTGAAAGATTTCTGATCATGAGGCTTAGTAAAAGCAGTCTTTCCTTTACTCATATACTTCTTCTTCAAACTCCTAATCTTATCCATAAACTGATTCTTGCTAACATCAAAGCTAATAGATTTCTTGATGAAATCGTAATACAGATTCGTGTCTTCATAAGGAGACTTCCCTGTATCAGCTTTGAAATCGATCATACCTTGAAGCACAGTGATTTCGTCTTCTTCAGTCCATAGTCTCTGAAAAGCAGGTTTCTTTGAATCTTCCCCAATCTTCTTCTCGTCGTCTCCTGAAGTAACCTTCTTAGCTCGCTTCGAATTCGCCTCCTTTGAATTCCCTTCACTAGGCCGCTTTGCTCCGGCTTTCGCCGCCGGTGAAGCTAAAATCACAGACGGCTGAGCCTCCTCCTTCTTCTTCGGCTTCGTGGCGGCGGATGCGGCGACGGTTACGGCGGCGGATTTTCCAGATCCTTGAGGATTCGAAGGCTGTTCTGTTTCGGAATCGGAATCGGTCTCGGTTTCGGATCCAGCATCTGAATCGGAGGCTTCCTTTGCGGCGGAGGGGACGGTGGTTTTGCCTGGAACGGCGATTGTTACAGCGGCGGCGGAAGGTGGTTTGATGACGGAGGCAAGAGGCTCGTCTTCTTCTTCAGATGAAGAATCATCTTCTTCTTCCTCTTCTCCAGCTGAAGTCTCGACTTCTTCTTCGTCGCTTGAAGATGCCGTTGGTGGATCTTCCAAAGGGTTAAGCTTCTTCGACATTCTGGGGAATTTAGAATTCGGATTCTTCTGAGAGAGAGAGGAATTGAGATCGAAGAGAAGAGAAGAGAAGAGAAGAGAAGAGAAGCTTTTTAGGGTTTGAGAGACGGCAGGCAAAGTCGAGTTTAGTTTAGAGCCAAGGAAATATAAAGGTCTTAACTTTAGTTTGCTGTCTTCCAATAGATTTAGGGGTTTTTCCTTTTTTATTTTTATTTTTATATTTTTTGGTTAAGGCAATTCCGATTTTAACTTTTTTTTTGTTATTATCATCGAAGGTTTATTGGTTTAATTAAGAAACGGCAACAGAAAAAAAAAGTAAAGAAACTTGAGCGATATCAAAGAACCTTAGGGTAAATGTGTACTCTGTTTGCATAAATATGACTATTTTTAAATGTAATGAATAATTTACATAGAGTTTGTTTGTTAGAGAATTATATGTACTCCTAATTGCATTTATCCAACCATAGCATAGAAGCAAGGGATGATTTTTTTTTCAGTAATAAAGTATACTTGGTATAATTGAGGTGAAGAAAAAAAACAAATAGAATTCTACACAATATTTGGAAATTGAATATATATATATATATATATAAAGATATGTGCTAAAAAACAAGAATAGAACGATTTATGTTATGGAAAATTTAAAGTATAAATCACATAATTTCAAAAGAATGAATTTATTATTATTCTAAAACTTTATTAAAAAAAATAATAAAGACAAACGACCAAAGCCCAAAAAAAAAAAAGAGAGCTAAAACTGAAAGCAAAACTAAGCCCAGAAAATTAGATTCTGTATTTGAAACTAGAGTTATGAGAGTGTGTAGGAAAGCAAAGAGAAGAATGTGTCAGAAAGACAAGAGAAGAGTTTCTAGAGCTAAAATTCACCGAAGTTAATAATTTGTCGGAGATTTTCTTACTTAGTCAAATCCTCTCTGAATTTTTACTGTGACATCATATAAATCGTCCTCTTATCTCATCAAAGACACCATACTGATTGCTGCTTATCAAACCGCAATCAGTATACTCCATTGTAATAAAATCCAAGAAATGCATGGAATTTTTTTATATATAAACAAAATCTTAGTTTCAGTACACGAAGTAATTTATTTGATCATATATTCGAATGCACGAGATGTGCATTCTGAACAATAACTCAACAATCATTGACAACAACAAAAAACTTCTAAACTCTAGATGACCCAAACAGAACAAAGAACAACAAAGCCATGTAAGAACAAGATGAAATACACATCTATTATGAACTATTAGCCAAAGAAACAAAAACCTTTCTTGTGTTTGGTCTCAACAAGGTAATTTGAAACCCATGTAACTACCGGAGACAAAATCATTCCAAACATCAAGAACTCCATAGCTTGTCATCAACACAATGCTCAATGCCATGACGATAGCAACCGAGAACACGATGATTGAAGCCCTTCCATATTGGGTTATAACCCTTTGAACCACCATTAGTCCCACTAGTGAAGCCACAAAACATATAACCGCGAATAGACTAGCGGTTCCGGTATGTTCCATGCCTAGTAACAAGTATTGAATCGCAGACATTGTTGATGAAAACAGTACCATGAAAGAACAAGTCGCTGCTGTTACCTATAACAAACCAAAAACATAGTCTTAAACCTTGAGATGTAGAGACAAACAGAGTTTTTAACTTGATCGAGCCAAGAACTTATAAATTACCTCTGGAGCAATACCGACTTGGAGGAGGAGAGGGCTAATGAGCATTCCACCTCCAATACCGAAAACACCACCTAAAACTCCAGCTAAAAGAGCCATTAAAGGAAACATACATTTGTTTGATCTTCCTCCATCATTTGATCCCAAATCTTCTACGTCCTACACGTGCAAAATTGTTTTCAGATATTCATCAACTGTTTGTGTTTTTCCGAAAACTGATCAAGTGTTTGTTGGAGTTGTGTGAAATCAAACCTTAACTGAGACTTGGTGATCTGAACACTGGTCGCTTTGAACATTGTCACTGAAGCAGATCCAGAGAGTGAAGAAGAGAGTGAGTGGTATTTGAGTTGATGAGATGAGCCAGTAAGTGATTCCACATGGCTCGATCGATATGATTCCCTGCAAATGCAAGTATTGAAGTTCGTAAAGTACGTGCTTTGTCATTTCTTTGTTCTGTATAATTTTAACAAAATTGTAAATTTGCACCATAATTCGCTTTCGCTTGATGAACCAAATATATGTAGTTAACTTACAGAATTTTTAAGCTTTTATTTTTATTTTTATAGATTCTAGATTTTTGAGATTGTTATATCGTCAAAATTGATCGTCAAATTGTTCAATAAGATTGAAAACAAATAGAAACAAAAACAGAATATAAATATAGGACTAGAAAGTGAAGTCATTCTAGCTAGATTTTTAAAAGAGAATCTACCCTACCCAAAATAAAATGGAACTGAACTATTTTTTTATATCAAAAAAAATTATGATGCAGCGCATAATTAGAAATATTAAGATAAATATGTACTATTTCTATTTCCTGTATTTTAATAGTTTTTCTTTTTTAATTAGGATTATGTTTTAGGGTTTTTCTAGGTTTTCATATAAATAACATCTTAGGCATATGATTTTATTTATGTGTTATTGATATTTTAATTTTATAAAATAGCTTTTAATAAGCATTGAGAAAAGTATTTTTGTTTTTGGTTAGATCTTTAGAGATCTCAACGAGTGAAAAAAGTTTGGTTGATTCGAGAATTGAATATCCTTGCATTTATCTAGTTTTCGCTATGTCAATTGGTATCAAAGCTGCAGATCGAAGAACGATTCTAAATGTCATGTTGATTGGCAGTCGCTACACTTTTGAGAATGAAAATCTTTTTGTCGAAAGAGAATATCATAAGATCTACAAAAAGATCTATGGTGATTTTATCTATGACATCTAAGAAAATGACGAAATTGAGATGTATTGTGATCTGATTTACGACATTTATGAAGATTAGGTCTTGAACATTAATCATGTTGATTTTGTGTTCAAACATGATGTTTTGAGGAAAATACAGCAAAATCTGTTCCAAAAAGATTTGGAGCATATCACAAGTCTATCAAAGAAGAGGTATGAATTTGACAATAGATTTGAGAAGATCAGTTTGGTGCCAAGGACTTGATTGAAGATTCGAGGACAAATCTTTTTTTGGCCAGCGAGACTTGATGCAGCGCATAATTAGAAAATATTAAAAGAAATATATATTATTTCTATTTCTTATATTTTAATAATTTTCTTATTTTAAGTTTTAGGGTTTTTCTAGATTTTCTTATAAATAATCTCTTAGACATATATATATGGTTTTATTCAGTTATTATTGATATTGATATTTTATTTAAAAAAATTGATAAACACTGAGAAGAGTATTCTCAATTCTTGTTTTTGGTTAGATCTTTAGAGATCTCAACGAGTTCAAAAAGGTTTGGTTTCTTCAGAAATTTTTAGACTAAACGAATATCTTTGCATTTATCAAGTTTTCGCTAGGTCATATTATCTAGATTTTTTGCATGTCTTATTTTAGTGTCACTATATACTGTGCAAAACCATTATAATTTCTTCAATAAGAACCAGAAAAAGAATATAATAATATTAATAAAATAGTAACCCAAACATCTTTGAAAGGGTAAGGAATCTAAAAAAGTGCAAAACCTTATTAAAGATCGTAAGAAGAAGAAGACACGAACTTTGAAATATCCATAGAATAGGACCAAACTCTTTTTTTTGGTCGACGAATAGGACCAAACTCTAGAAACCACATTACTGATCATGACCTGTCTTCACGTGAACAAGTTCGCTATCGCTTTTAACAAAAAAAGTTCCCTATCGTTATTCAAACGCATCTTCACCACGTGTTTCCAAATTTTTTTTTTAAAAAAAGCAAAAAACAATTTAAAAGAATATATAAAAGACATGTCATTGAAGACATGAAAGTAGATGAGAACAATTCAAACGTGTTTAATTTACTTCTCATTTAACCTGATCTTAAATTTCCACCTAATTACTCCATAAGTTAGTAGTTTCTTTTCTTATTCATCCATAATCTAAATACCAACTGTGTATGATTGAATAGGCATACCAACAATATCTAAGACGTGCATGATCAGGTTTTGACATTTTTTACTTTCACTGTCGAAACTTAAACTATTACAACTACAACCTATAGTTAAAGCAGACTTTTGTTTATATGTTACAAAATCCCATTATTAAATGATATTCCAATGTCTTATTACTCTGTTGTTAACTTTTCATGACATACTATTCTCGGCCATACACAGTTTTAGTGAACTAAATCTACAAGAAATCCAAATAAAAGAAATTTTAATTCAATGAAATAAAAAAGATTTAATTCGTGACTAAAGAAACTTCAACTATTTTAATCATATGATTACCAAATAATTTTATTCTGGATATAAAGTTGCAAGCCTTTTTCCTTTCTTGCTTTTCATTACCTTAAAATTTCTCTGTTTTTAGTTTTTTTTTTTTGTTTCCTTTTTTGTCTCTAGTCAATAATATTGTCAATTTCAATCTGATAACTCAAGCTAAAAAACCAACTCATTAATTACGCTTCACTAAATGCAACACTAGTAAGCTAATCATAGTAATTAAACTTGTTAATTTACCTCGCCGTATTTGTTTCCGCGAAGAAGATAAACACCAAAGTAAGCGAGCCAAATAACCACCAAAACTCCAAGCTTAATCCATGGAAAACTCCTTGTTCTCTCGTAATCTCCCAAAAGAGGCAATTTCACACTCTCGATCTTCTCATCATCATCATCGTCTTCTTCTCCGATCCGATTCGATTCTCTGATTTTCACCATCTCCGACTCCAATCTCCAGTAATAAATCCCGTTTCGAAAAGTCTTCAACGTTGACCACGCGAGAAAAACGGCGAAGAGGATCGTCACGAGCCAATTCGGGAACACGACGTTGCAAATCACTCCGATACTAACTCCGAGAAGCATACACGGCTCTAAAAGCAGAGCCAAATCGAAATCGATCAAAGTTTTGCCTCCCGATTTAGGGTTTCTCACGAAGAGATTGCATCCCACGTTCGCTACGGATCCGCCTGTGACCATGAAAGCAGAGAAGCTCGACGCCGTTTTCAGGTCGAGTCCGGCGACGATTGTCATTATCGGAACGTATAAACCTCCGCCGCCGATTCCGCCGGCGCTTGAGATTGATGAGGCGAGGAAAGATAGTACGGCGGCGATGATTGTCGATGTGGTTAATTCGACCTTCGGTTGGTTAAAATTCGCCGGAAAATCGAGAAATGAGCTTGTTCTGTTGAGGATTTGATCGACGGGGAAGACGTATGAAGGTTCTGGTTGTGCGATTGATGGAGTTGAGAGGATGATGAAGGTGATGATGGAGAGAGTTACAGGGACGAAATAGTTTCTCATTTTTATGAGTGGGGTTTTTGCGTAATTTTTGAAAAGTTTTGGGGATTTTTTAGGAGATGCTTTTTCCTGTGTGTGTGTGACATTTGTGTTTGTGAGTTTTATATAGGAGATAGAGAAGAGAGAGAGAGAGAGTGATGCAATTCTCAGGTAGAAACAAAAGATTAAAAAAAAAAGAAATAAAAGGAAAGTTAAATACAAATTGTAAGAAAAATATAAAAGAGGCTAATCAATTTTTGACAAGTGCTGATAAATTGTGAAACATGCCAGTATGCCACATCCATCTTGTGGGAATTATGTTATTTGTTCCCCACCATTAACATTATTTTTTTCTCATCAAATGTAAAATAATATTCCCTAGTTGATTTTTTGAGTTTTATTTCTTGTTTCACAATATTTGATTTCATGTATGTAATTAATATATGTTTGTAATTAATGCATGTTTCCATTCTCTATTGGTAGAAAAAAGAAAGTAATATTAATAGAAATAATAAATTAATTATAAAAGTAAATTAATCAAAGAAATAAAACAGAAAATAATTGAGTATTTATTATTTCTTAATCCATGTGCAATATTCAGAAAATTAACTATTATGAAACAGAAAGAGTATATATAAACCAGAAGGTTTTATAAGGACCGACTATTTTTAGAAGTTGGGAGATTAATCGAATTTTAAGAACGCGCTGTGTATTTTTAAAATATGATACTATTTGTTTGCTTAAGTAGTTAAGTATAGCAATTTTAAAGGTATAACGAATATTTCTAATATTTTGAAAAATTATCAATTATTCTGAAATTAGAGAGTACATGTTTCATTTAATGTTGGTCTTAGTAATCCACAACCAAAGCGTAATTTTTTCTTGGGATCATACCATGTTCCGTCCACATGCAAACTTATGTATTGGTTCCGTCAAAGTCAAACCACATGCAAGTAGTAATTCATTTTATTTAATTTGTCGAGTAACTAATTTATTTGAATCTTTTTTGTTTATATGTTAAATCGAACGATGATGAAGCGAATGAGACATTCTCATGTTTTTTCTTAGTTCAAGTAAGCAGGTAATTATCAAATCAATGTAAATATGTAATAGTATATCGTAGATTTGTCTACTTAATGTAGTACTTATCTTTAAAGAAGTCATGTATATATATATATATTTTAATAATATCACATTTCAACCCAAATAAAAGAAAGACTAAAGTCATGAGTTGGCAAAACTAAATATCTGTAATGTTTCGTCAGATCAACTTGCCGTTTGCATATACGACCAATTAATTATAGTATAAATTATTTTATGTATATGTGATTGTCTGACATTATAAACCAATAATAATGGATTCTTCAATTAACCATTTCCACTCCTACTTCAAATCTCACTCCAAAATAAAATTTGAAACAAATTTTTCTCAAACTTTACTTCATATCTCATTCTAAAATAGAGTAAAATAGAATTATTCTAAATATAAAGCAAAATATAGAGTTACTCCATTTTTCTAATTATGATTTCATTTAAAAAAAAAAAGATTGGAGTAAAACACAATACCATTAGAATCAAATATAGAAGTATAGAGTTATACATTGAAAATATTCTTATACTCAGTTGTTTTTAAAACACTATGTTTAAGGTTTTTTCATACGGATTGAAAATTCATTTAATTTTTATTCTTTCCAAACTAAAAACATCATTTATTATATATTTAAATACAATTCAACCAATAAAAAATTCTGCAGAATACAAATAATCAAAAACAAACAAAAATATTATTTTTTATTAAAAACTGAAAACATCGCTTATTTAAGAAAAAAAAACACTTTAAAAGATCACTTATTTGTTATTTCAAAACAAAGAGAGTACATAAATAACTTCATCTCATTTAATAACCGATTAAATAATTCTTTTTTCTTGGTAACCGATAAAACAGGTTTAATCGATTTAAACAGTAAATGGAATTCGCTTCGTGATAAAAGAAAAAAACAAAAATCATCTTTTTTAGAAGACTTGTTAGAGTATCTCACAATATTAGAAATGAAAATAATTCAGCACTTATATGTGAAGTGTTTTAGCTTCTCCACTTATAACTAATTTGTAGGGGCGCGCGGGTCTGATAACCTGAATCTAGGAAAAATAACCTTACAATTATTGTTTGGACAGCTCTACAAGTAGTGTTTGTACCAATTATCAGGCCATGTGGTGAATTATAATCTTTCATTAAAGCAATAAAAGTTTGGAATCTTCTCGAAAAAAAAGCTGTATACGTCTACTTTCATATTTCAAACTAGATGAAACCATCATGAACAGTATTTTACATTATCCATAGCAAATATTGTATGCTACTTTTCTATGCACTTTATTATATGAGTTTTTAAAAAGGGTTAATTTGTGCACTTTTGGTTAAAGTCGTAATCGTATACTCGTAATAACATATTGTAGTCTCCAACTATTCAGGTATACAAGTTGTCTGTAATTGGCTCTTGTAAAGTTTCCTGGGTCGTGCTTAGTCATACTATGATCGAACTATAAATATTCAACCCGGCCCTTTAAGAACTTTTTTTTTATTTATAGTATAGATAAGCATAACAACGATTGGCTTTAAAAGTCATCAATGATCAATTCTATTAACAAACATAGGATATCAATATTAGATCAGATATAAATCAATACGTTTTATTTACATGTTGAATTAGCAACAGTTGAGTAACTTATTTCATTTATACACCATCAATTTTTCAAAGCATTTTGAATCTATCACATTTTTAATATATGAAATGGCAAATTCAATATATTAGCGCGATTAAAAGTATACTAATTCATCAGCACCATATTCAGATAAGAAGGAGAATATCTGGCAATTATTGTCGGATTTGAACTCATGTCTCATTTATGAGGAGATGTTCTTCTTATATAGTCCAGTTTTGAATTCTGGTACAAAAGTAAGAATCAAAAGTTCAAAATTCTACATTCTAAACAAAATTGTCATTGCTGAAGACTAAATGACTAATTGATTTGTACGAGGGATGAAACTCTTCTTTTTATTAAGACGGATAAAACATTTGAATTATACCTCAATAACGAAAGTCCACAATGTGGGAGATGAAACATATATAATAACCAAAAATGTACGGATGATGCAGAATTATTAGGTAACGCTGTGGTATAAGATTATATATAATTGTGTTGACTATTTGAGAGTATTACAAAATGGTTTATAGGTCACTCTGGGGTAGGGGTCGGATATCAACGTAATTCTGGTACGAGTTTTTTTATTGCGAAGAGAATGCTTTTTGTATAAACCAACTTGCGTTAATGATACTGTTCTGTATTAGTCGAGTGAAGAGATCAAAATCTGTTTTCCACGAAGTTACACCAAGGGTTTGGAATAGATAAGATTTTTTCTCAAAAAATATTAGTTTAAGAATTAAGATTCAGCTCAAAATCACTCGATTATAGGAGTGGTATCAATGGCGCGGACCCAGAAATGTTGTTTACCAGGGTTAAAAATAAAATAAAATATAAATATTAATTCTGATATATATATATATATATATATATATACACATGATAATATTTACTGTGGTATACAAATCAATTTGGCAACGGTAATTAAACTCTCATAGCTATAAGAGATTACCTTGGCTCCAACAGTTATCAACTTATATATATCAATCACTCTTTCTTACAAAAAAACAGTTATCAATAACACAATTTTAAAACATAAGTACATAACGCTGCATTTTCTTTTATTTTGTAACCTACATAACATTGTATTTGAACGGTAAATTAAACAAACGACGATTAATTGGCTGATAATTGTTGTGATTCAGTTTTGGCTATTGGCTGATCAACCGTAAGATTTTCAGCAACGTTGCTCGTCGACGTCGACATTTCTCTTGAAGTTTCTCTTTCTTCCACCTCCTTCTTCTTCTTCTTCTTCTTTAAGCAACAGCAACAGAGAGAGCACACACAAATCGCCAAGATCATTACCACCGCAGCTATGATCACCGGAGCGATGATTTTTCGAAACCCTTTACCTTCATGCATGCAACCAAAACCCTAGTTATCGATCATTTCAGATCATATAAGAAATTAATGGTTTTTCAAAGACAATATCTATGTGTCGTAGTACTAGCCTAGCTACTTCAATTTCTATGTTAGGTTTCGACAAAAAAAGATAACTAAAACTCATTTTTGTCTAGCTTTATTAGATATATTAGAACACAAACCCATAAGAATACAATCAAGCCCATTAATCCATGTATCTAGGGTTCTTAGCAAGATAGTCTTCTATACAAGTGTTTGTAATGACATTAAGAGAAATAACTTCGGGAGTTTGGTACAACTCTTTTCTTTTCATATTTTGATATCAATCGCAAATCTCAACTTAGGTGTCTTTTCAAGTAATTAGGTTTCTTCTCATTTAATTTCTTGCACTTAATAAAGTTCATATAACTATTTCAATTTCAATAAAGCTCTAAGAGCTATGAAACTATATTTGCTTTAAACTTGCTTTCAAGATATATATATATATATAGCCATAAACCTCAACTATATTATCATCAGTCCCTACTTCTCCTAGATTTTCATAGGTTAGTTACATATGTACGCAAGGTTCAATATATTGTGAATACAAACATAAACAAACAAACAAAGACAACCAAAGTTATATGTTGATTATTTCTCATCACCTTTTAAGTTAAATGAGAATGAACCGTTGGAATTGGGGCTTCTCTTTCTTCTAGAAAAACTCAATGGCGGTGGTGGCGGTGGCGAAGGTGGAGGAGGTGACTCCAAGAAATTAGCTTTATACGTTAACAAACAATTGGTAGAGTAAACCAATGCAAAACGTTTCCCATAACAACAATCCTCAGTCTCATTATATGCCCATTTCAAGCATCTATAGCAATCGGACTGGCTTAGATCGGGCGTGCACTGTACCAATCCGTGCAGATCATAAACTTCTTCAAGAAAACTCACATGATGCGTCTCCTCCGCGAAATAAGAAGAGCTCGTGTAGGCTTCTCGTATCAGCCGGTCCATACGAGATTCCACGGTATATATGAAATAAGATTGATACATCATGGTATTGTACGTCGTCCACGTAACGAACGGTCCATAATCAAAGATGGAGAGAATCTGACGGTTGGAATATCTAAGGAAGCATTCTTCATACCATATGATCGCCTCTTTTTGGCCAAGACATACGATAAGAACGTTTTGGGACGCTCTTGAAATGCATGTTTCACATGACAAGGACGAGATGTCTCCGCGACATAGATAAGTTCCGTACACCGTTGTGGTCGGGGAAGAACCTGTAGTGTAGCTGTCGAAACCTTTGAAGGATGATTGAGAACGGAGAACGGAGATGAGGGAATCTAGATTGGATTTGTAGGAACTGTTCGCCGTGTAGCTACCGGATTTGTAGCAGTAGCTGTGAAGATACGTTGGTTGTGCATTTAAGGTTTTGATGAGAAAGAAGAAGAAGAAGAAGGGGAGAAAGGAGATGAACTTGGATTGATGAAGGAGAGAGATCATCATCTTTTTATTAACGTTGTTGGTCATCAACTAAGATCTAGGTATATATCATTTGAATTGGCTCTTATTATATACCCACCCATATGCAGTATTTTTGGTTAGCATATCTTCAGTTTTTTTAAAATGTTTCTAAATTTTATAACATATGTTTTTTGTCTCTCTTGGTCAACTTTGAGCCATGCTGTCCGATTTGACTTTTATGATTATGAACTTGATTGTATGTTATGAACTTGATTATGTTATGAACTTAACAAATAGTAAACCTGAATTCTTGATCTGATTGGTGATACAAAATGGTAAAAAAAAAAAAAGGAAGAATTGTAAATTTAGGACACATTTTGCAAACAATTGTCCTTATAAGATTTTTTGAATTTTTGTCATTTTTAGACTTAATTACCTTTTAATTAATGATTACATTAATTTGAGAAATTCAAATTTAATGTTTAATTTTTTAAGAAAAATTTAAAAATGCCAAATAAGGAAATAAACTAATTACCGAAAATTAGTTATGGAAAGTTTTTAATTTTTAAAAATTATTTTCTACAACACCTAGAAAATGTATTCTACATTCTAAGGTTTTATAGAATATGTTTTCTAGACATTCCTATACAATCTATATTCTATATGTTCTTCTTCATTCTACTAGCCGTATAGAATATGTATTCTATAAACTCTTCATCGTTCTACAGCTTGTAGAATACATTTTCTATACTTTTCATTACGTTCTACATTTTACTAAAATGTGCATTTTAGTAATCATTCTTTGTTCAAAGTAATGTAGAACATGTATTTTATTAAGTCGTTAACAGAATCTGAGAAAATCTAGTATTCATGTGCTTATCCACCAAACTAAATATTTTCCAAATATTTACTTTCTTTTTTATTTCCATGTTTTTTCACTTCCACAACGTTTTTTTCTTCTCTGTTTTGCTTTTTTTTTTTGCTATCTTCTCACACTTTGATGAAAGACAATCTTTTCTTCAACAAATCAGCTAGCTTCAAATCTTAATACCAAACAAATGGAGCTTACTCAGCTCAGTAGTTTCCATAAACATTAGAAACAGAAAGTATATGTACATAGTTATCTTATGTTCCTACGACTTTAAATCCACATATCCATTATCAAACATATCTGTTATCAAACACATGAATTGTGATGCAGGTAATCTGGACTTCAACTTAATCCTGATCACCAAAAAGGTCTCCTATTTATGATTTGACAATGCTTTAGAAAATTGTATAAGTAAAAGAATGGACAAAATTTTCACTATGTAGTATTTACACACAAGAACAGTACACAAACACGATTACAAGCCATCCAAGACATAAGAAAGAATGTTTACACTTTACAATTGATAACTCTTGAAATTCTATTTGCAATTCCAGTGGCTCTATATTTAGCAGTAGTTTCTTCTGCTTGAAGAATATCTTCTCCTCTCTTTGGCTTTCTTCTGAATCACTGCAACCTTATTCTTCATCTTCTCTGCTAACTATGCTTTCTTCTTCTCTAGTTGCCCCTACAATTCAAACACACGTCAGACACATTTTAACTTCACAGCTTGGACTGAACAGAGAAGTAAAATAATAATACATCAATAATAAACGAATTTAATTTGTTTGGTGATAAGAATTGTCTAGATGAGTCGCCTATTTGCATGGAGCACTATATAAAAAGAAGAACGTGAACACATTATCCCACGTGTCAGCTGATTTCCACTCTAGTAACTTGATTACAATCCTACAAGCTATACTAATCAAGAAAATAATGATGACAAATCTCATATTCATAAAGCAAAATCTTGGCAGAATAAGATTATGTATGAACAAAACCTAACGCAAATCCATAAAAGACAAGTATTAGGAGTTTACAAATTTTGTAGCAATAGTTATGGAGTGGGTGAGCTTAGCTGAGCTCGAGAATCTCAGAGAAAACATCTCTCTGTTATGACAATGAGAACCTCAAAATAAATGAATAACAACAATCGGAAAGCCTACTCACACTGGTCACTGGGACAAATGGTCGAACACCTGGTGAGCGTTGGTGATATGACTTTCCAAAACGAAGAAGAAACGGTTTACACAGAGAGGAACGTAGTCATTTCAAGCAAAAATGAAAGTAGCAGCACACGCAAAGAAAGAAACGTAGAACAAATAAGGGTATTTATATGTATGTGTCGACAGGTCGTATACATATACATATGCGTGATTCAAAACCTTAGAATATGGAAGTCGTCTTCAACCCCAGTGAATAAGGTTTTAAGGTTTTGCAGAATTAAAAAAAAAAAAACTAAACAAATATTACTAGAATGAAAAAATTAAGGGTAATTTTAGGTTTAAGTCTTATACTAATAAAAATTGAAGTGTCCACATAGGATTTAAGAAATTAATTTAATTGATCTACATCAACATTCAAAAATAAGAAAAATTTACAAATTGTAATATTATTGTGGAAAAAAGGAAATTAAGAAGGTGTCCACATAGAATTTAAAAACTCAATTTTATTGGTCCACATCAACATTCAAAATTAAAGAAAATTTATGAATTGTAATATTATTGTTGAAAAGGGAAATTAAGAAAGTTTATTGGTCCAATAATTTTTTTTATTGGTCCACTTCAACATTGAAAATTGAAAAATGTTTGTATAAATTTTTTATTGGTCCACCTCAACATTGAAAAGTACAGAAATTATTGTTTTTAAATTCTATTATTGTTTTTTAAATGATTAAAAGTAAAGAAATTATATATAAAATTAGTATTAATAATAAAAACTAAAATAATTAATATTAAAATAGGAAATTTTTTAATTTAAATTAGATATATACACACTTATTTAGAGACTCTTACATTAGCATCTAATATTTTTGTCACATAATTATAATAATTTTTAAGTATTTTTTTTTGTTTGTGCAACTATGTAAAATAAACAAAAACAAAAGATAGAGTAAGGTTCACTAAAAAATGAGTTATTACAACGTAAAATAACTAATTAACTTGACTAAACTATATGTTTAACTATTAGCTAAATTACAAAGAATATAATAAAAGAAGATATAAACAAATCCACTACAAGATGACTAAACTACAGTAAAACCTCTATAAATTAATACTCGATAAATTAATAATCACTATAAATTAATAAATTTCTTTGGTCCCGAGTTGGGCCAATGTAAAAAATCATCAAATTCGATAAGATAATAAGATAATAATTTTTTTAAAACCCCTATGTAAAAACATGGTCCCAACAAAAACATAAATTAATAATTATAAATTTTAGGTAAATATATCTAAGGTAATCTAGAAAAGTATGAATATATTGTTGTTTGCTTTTTCTGAAAGTTGGAATCTCGTTAAAACTCATCTCTAATTTTTCTTATTGCATCAACAACTTCTGGTGTTGTCTTCTCAGTCTGCATCCAAAATATGTGAAGAGTTCTTGAAGCCATAATCGCTTCCTTACGCGAAACTGCTGTCAAAGGTTTCATAGCATCATCTTCAACATCATCATCAACATTAAGGACAGTAGCCACAATCTCTTCTAAACTCTGAACTCCTGAGCATGTATCGTTTTCACCAGGATAGTCGAGTATGGTATCAACATCCATTTTGTTTTGATAACCGAGATGATTAATCAAAACCTCAAGTTCATGAATGTCAAAGAAAAATTTAAGAAATAAAAAAAATGGAATACTAACATAAATTGAAGAAAGCAGCTTCATATATTAACATAAAAATATGGAATATTAGTATAAAAAAATTAAAGAATTAAAAAATGTATATTAATTAAGTACACAAACATTATCTCTATAAATTAATAATTATTAATTTATAGATAAATTAATATCACGATAAATTAATATCACGATAAATTAATAAAATATTATGGTCCCGGCATTATTAATTTATAGAGGTTTTACTTATGTTTAATTATTAGCAATTATAAAGAATATAATGAAAGACGATATAAACAAAGACACTACAAACCGCTTTATTATTAAAAAAGAAACCGTAAAATCTCCAAAGCTTAGCCGCCAAAATTTGAGAAGAATGATAAATTTCAAACAATCCGAGAAATATGTCAAGTGATTGATATTCGACACTTTTGTAAAACCAAGCACTGAAAATAGAAAAAAGAACATAGCGGAGAAGACTCAGATATCTGAGGAAATTTTTTGAAATAACATAACATCTGAATGAGTTTTAATAATCCAACCTGAACCACAAAAGTAACAATTAGCTGACCAAGCAGCATCCGAATACATTCGGTAAGCCTCAAAACAAAGAGGAGAGGCTAAAATCACTTGCCGCAACGGACCTCGCGTGAGATTTTCCAGTTTTGATTTCTAAATTTATTACTAATAAAAGTTAAAGCGATATACCTCTAAGAATGTCCATATATGATTTAAAAGTTCAATTCTATTGGTCCACATCAATATTTAAAATTAAGAAATTTTTAAAATTTTAAATTATATTGTTAACAAACAAATATAAAAGTTAAAGTTATATACCTCTAAGGACATCCATATAAGATTTAAAATATCAATTTTATTATTCCACATCAATAACTAAAATTAATTTTTTTTCTAAATTATAAAATTACATTATTATTACAAAATAATATAGGAAAAATTATTAATTAAAACTATTCTATTATTATTGATAGTTAAAGTTATATTATTTTCAAGGCATCCACATCAGCATTTAAAAATTCATTTTTATTTCTATATATCAAAATTATAGATTAAAAAAGTTTCATAATTCTAATATTATGATTAAAAAATATATTAATAATAAAGAAATATCTATTAACAGAAAAAAACCAACATGATATTAAAATCTACATTATCACTGTTTAAATCACAAATTTAATTTATTATCTATAAAAAATATATGATACTTATAAAAGTTTAAGTTACTTGATTTTAAAGCTTTTCATGTAGAATGTTAAATAACTAATATTTATGATTTATATCCATCTAATTTTTTTTTCACATATGCAAAACATATCATCGAAATATGTAATATATTATGCAAAAATATGTAATATTTTGTTCTCATGTAATATATTATGCAAAAATGATCAAAAAATTTACATTATATATATTTAATTTGGAATTCAATAGATTAATGTAGAAGTTCTTAGTTTTGAGTTATTCAATTTGTTATTTCCTTTTTATAAATTTGTATGTACTAATTTGTACTGGTTTTGTCTACTTAATTACAATTAGAAGTGAAAATAAATATGATGAAACTGAATATAATCATACAAAAATTATTAAAATAAATAAATACAATAAATTCATTGAAAAAATAGATATAACAAGAATAAAAATGAAGAAGATGAAAAAAAAATTTCATTCTTATTAGAAAAAATGATGTATAATCATTGAAAAATTATTTAAAATTTACATTACCAATTGAAAAATATATATATATATATATTTATTCACAAATTTTGTGTGATTTTATTCATTTCATATTCAACTATTGTTTTGGTTTCAAATTTAAAGTTGTTATTAATCTCAAAGCAAATATTTTATTTCTTAATTTTTTAAAATTAATATATCAAAATAAAAATTTGTATTTGTTAAACAAGAGAAGAAAATAATTATATTTTAAATTATATTTTTATTTTATTTTTTAAGAACATATATATAATTAAAATAAAAGTGAAAATGATGAAAAAAATTATTTTCTTGATTTAAAGAAGTGAATGTATAATATTTTATTATCATGTTAATATTATGTTTAAAAAGTAATATTTGATTAATTTGTAAAAGTTTTAGTTGGTTTTGGTATATTACCTTATAAGTGTTTGAACAAATAATACATTTTTGAAATATGATATACTGTATATAGATTCAAAACAAAATAGTTAAAACATCATAATTTACATAAATATTATAAAGTCAACACTATAATATTTTAATATATTATAAAAATATTAATATATACAATTTATATCTTAATAAATATAATTAATTACATATAATTTTTATCAACAAAATATAATTAATTACATATAATTTTTATCAACAAAATAGTTAAACCATATAATTACATATAATTGGACGCAAAATCTAGTTAAAATAAATCTTAAAGAGACAATGTTTAAGCTAGTAAATCTTTAAAAGATAAATGGTTTGAGAAATTGTCCTAAATTTCTAATTTTCCCAAAAAAAAGAATATTTAGATTACGAACATCGCTGAGATTCATTAGAGTCTCTTAATTATTTTTTAAATATTAAAATATCCAACTGCCGTTAAAAACCGTCTCTTACAGTTTCAATTTAGAAGACGTCTCTTGCATTTTCAGAAATTTAACTTATTAAAAAAATGTTTTTATTCACAAGAGACGCAGTTAAATACGGCGATATTCATGCTTTTAGAAACATGAAATTATTGTGTCATGGGCCATAATCTCTAAAAAGTGTAAATAATATATGAATTTTTAATATCAACGAATTGTATTTACTAGTTCTTTCATATTACCAATCCAATTTAGTTATTTATCAACTGAGTAGTTCAATTAATCTCATAAGATATACATTATCATATATATTTTATAAGCCTAATGACATGACAACATAAACTTAAGCGCGTAAATGGTGCAAATCATTAGGTTAGGATAACAATATAAACAATAACGTTGGAATTATAGGATTACTAAAAGAAATTATCGTACAGATAATCATAGGCCGAATGTTACACCAAACTTAAATAACACTAGATTTTAACCCCGTGCGTTCGCACATAATTTTTTTTTTTATTTCTAATATAAATTGTATTTATTTTTTTGTTTAGATATAATTTGTTTTTTAAATTAAAAAATTGTTATTATGTTTTAATTTTAAACAGTAAAAATTTGTATATTAGTAGAATAAGAGTATGCGTTAATTAAATGTACATTAATATAATGTTAATTATAAACTTTGTTATTATGTGAATTTAGATTTACACATAAACAATTTATATATCTATGAATTTGCTAATCCGTCCGTTTAATTGTCTTAAATCATTTTTAATATCTTACATGTTTTGATAAACTAACCCGTATAAGACTATAATTATAAATGTATAACCCTATAAATATTTACTAATATTAAATATTTGGACCAATTTATTATGAATAAATATTATTTAAATTTAAAATTTAAACTAAATCTACCCTGTATTTAAAAAATGCTAAAAAATTAAAATTATTAACTAAATTTTCGTAATAAAATTTAATTATAATTTTTTTGAATTTAAATTAAATTAAATGCAGATTTTTGTATTTAAATATAATTATCATAAATTTTCAATAATTTGAAATTTAAATTAAAGATGACCTAGATTTTAGGAAACCTAAAAATATCTACATTAATAACTAATTTTCGAAAAATAAATATAACTGTAAAATAAAATATTATAAAAAAAAACTTTGGTAGTGTTTGGAAGCAAGCACTAAAAGTGTTTCTGTTTTAATATAATAGATGTTCAGGATAATGTTTCTTAAATCATTTTCAAGCAGATATTTAGAATATAGCTGACATATTGAAACTAATCAAAATGGATCATATTAATAAAAAAAGTCAAATTTAATTATTAATAAAAGTATGATATTTGGTCAAGTGAAATAAACCGGACATCTCTTGTCTTTGGTCCTACTCAACAACATGCCATCCCAACCAACCTCAATATAACAGTTTGCGTACATCCTATGGCTCTTACTGTGCCACGTGTACACCTTAAATCGTATCACGGACATTACCTCCAAACGGAACACTACCTTCCCTTGATCCCTGTCTCGTCCCATTTCCATCCAACGGTCCTTATTCACTGTCATTGTGGGCCCACGTAAGTCTCCTTCGATCAAGCTCGTGTTCTTCGGGTCCTGGTAAAACGAGTGAGTGAGTTTAGTAGACCCGACCCGTTTCTCTTTGTAGTAAACGGATCCTTCCATGGAGTCGTAGTAAACCCCAACGTTTTGGTTTGGGTTATGAGCCGTTATCTTGAAGTTTATGTGAGAGGTCTCGTAACCGTCCGGTTTAGCCAAACCGGGGAGAGAGAAACCGCGGATGTGGAAACGTGGTCGATGAGGACGTAAACTGATCCATAGGATGAAAAACACAATGCCTAAACATAGCAAAAGAGATAAGAAAATGGCACATATGAGTTTTGAGACTCTTGTTGTGAGGCTTTCTTTGACCTGATGAACGATATAGCTCGCGGAGTGGTGACGGGATATGGGTCGGGTTGATGGGTCGGATCTGACCGGTAAAGAGTCGGCTTTGTTGTGCATTGTGTTGTGACTTGTGAGTTAATGTTGGTGGGTCATGAGAAGTAATATGAAATAATGTGGATGAGTTGTGAGGTTTATGTAGTAAATTAAAAATAATTGTTGTAGTTAATAATAATAAAGCAAAAGATACCTTGGAAGATATAGTGGGGATTTCACTTAAGGAAGAAAAGAATTGACAACTAAGTATCTCTAATTGTATATGGTTTTTTTTTTATAGCCATGTGCAAAAGATTTCATATTCGACCATCAAGTTGGTTTATTTTAATATTAACCTAATTTTGGTGTGATGTGATACGTCTTTGATGTGGTTTATTAGTTATAGCCAGTGTTCTAACTAGGCGGTGCCTAGACGCTACTGCGCTAGGCGTTTACAAATTGTAATGATTATGTTTTAGGCGTTGGCATTAAACGTCATTGTTTTTAAATGGTTTAAGCGCTGTCTAGATGGTTTTAGAAGGCTTAAGGCGTTTTTAGACAGCTCTAAGCGGTTCATCAAAATTGTTAATAGTTAACATTTTTTTGTGCAACTTTTGAATTTTTAACTACATATAGTTAGATATATAATTTTTAATTTCATAAATACATGTTATAAAAATTTATATTTTATAGAAATAAAGTGAATGTTTTTGTTTAATATTTTTTTATAGCAGTAAAGTGAATGTTTTTGTTTAATATTTATTTATGACTTAACAGACAAGGCTAAATAGTAAATAATATGGTATCTATATTGGTTAAATCTCGTGGCTCTTAAATAACTAATGGTAATACAAATGGATTTAAAAAAAAAAATACAAATGGATTTTCATTATGTTGAGGAGGTTTTTAAATTGGAATATATAGTTAGGAGGATTTTGAGGTTTCTTGTTGGAGGGACAATCTCCTGCCAAAAGTGTTTATGTTAAGATTTATTTACAACTTGAAAGCTTATTGTGTTTGCTAACATGTGAAGAACTTAAAGAAGGTAGGAGAAGCATTTGCGACAACAAAAGAAAACAATATAAAAGGAAAAAGAGAGAAATTTCATGAGCCAAGCGGAAAGGTCAAGCTCGATAAGTTAAAGCCCACTTTATCAGGAGTTTTGAATATAAAGCCCATAAGCTCGAATTGGACCTGCTTCAAAATCCCAAAATCAGTATTTGAGGAATTTTGGGAATATTCAGAAGAACTTACAAAATAATTCTGGATCTAAACTTTTTTGTTCATGAGATCCTCATGCAAGGTCTCATATTAATTTGATTATAGAAAAGGAAATACGTAAGTAATATAGCGCTTACAACTTATACAAGTAATATTAATTTTTTTTAGTCCTATTATTTCGCACGATAAGCTTCAATTATCTAAACTATAATTAATGTAAATGTAAATGATCTAATACGCAATATTGTAAAGTTAAATTTTTGTTGTTGACCTTCAAAAAAGAACTCTCTCCATTTCAGTTTCTTATAACAAACAGTACAAAAAGTCCCAAATAATTTTTTTTTTTGTTTTACTCCAAATTCGCCGACGAGTAAGCGAGAGATGGCGCCGCCGGCGACGGAGCGGTGGTGCTGGGCTTTGATCCTTCTCTTACTTTCTTTGTTCATCCAATCTTCGACGGCCATTTATTGCGGCGCAGAAGATTGCTATGCTCTCCTCGGGTTCACCTTCCGATCTCAAATTTCCGTCAGATTGTTTTCCTTTCAATCTCTGTCTCTCCTTTAATCTTTCGCATTTTCGATTGCAGAGTCTCTCAAGATGCGAACGCATCGGATATCAAGAGATCGTATTACAAACTTTCTCTGAAACAGTAAGGATTCTTGATTTGTTAGACATTGTAGAATTTATTGAAATCTTCGATTGATTGGATTTGATTGTCTTTCTTTTCGCTAATTGTTTCTTCACTTTGATGAATCGATAAGTCATCCTGATAAGAATCCGGATCCTGAATCGAAGAAGCTGTTTGTGAAAATCGCCACTGCTTACGAGGTACTTCACTTATCTGATTTTGAATTATCAAATCTATCATGGAATCGAAGAAGCTCTATGATTTTTGAATAGTTTAAAGTTTTTTTCCATCCCATTATACATACATTTGCATAAATCCAAAATCACTTATATTGGGAGATAGATTTGATAGTCTTGCTATGTGAAGTTATTGGATCGATGAGATTCTTGTGTTGTTATTTTGGTACCAATTAGTGGAGACTGGGAAATCAAAGTTGATCATGGTTGTGATTTTAGTTTCTTCTTGCATGCCTGAAAGCATATTGACAAAGATCTCAAAAGGTTATCTTTTTGTTTTGTTTGTTTGTAATCTTCTTGCAGATTTTGAAAGATAACGAGACTCGGTCACAATATGATTATGCAATTGAACATCCAGAAGAGGTCAGTTAGAACATTCTCTGAAGCTATTGATTGCATAGATACAAGATCTATTTGAAATTTTCTATACCACTTTGTGTTTCTTGTAGGTGTTTTACAACACAGCTCAATACTACCGCGCAAAATATGGACATAAGTCGGTAAGATGTTGTTGGATGTTTTTGATTAGCTTTTCTTGAAAAATAAATTCATATGGCATTTTTAACTGATGTAACCTTTGAATCTGTTTCTAGGATCCTCGTGCTGTTCTCGTTGGTCTATTGGTAGTTTTGTCTGCATTTCAATATCTGAACAACGTGGCAAGGTATAATGAGGTACGTATCAGAGACAGAGATTCTCTCACCATGTTTTTCATAGTTTAAGTCTATTTTCCGTTGCATTTTTCTGATGTATGTCAAGATTATATTTAAAGCTACTCATTACATATATCTCTGACTAAAAATTCAGGAGTTACATGTATTATAACAAGTCATGAAACGTAGAGTTATGGACATATGATCTCTTGAATGTGATTCAAATCTTTTTGTGCGTGCAAGAAAATCAAATCCTTTCACGGACTTTGGACTCATTTTCTTGATGGGACCTTGCGTTTTTATTTTGATGCAGGCGATAGCGACAGTTAAGCGGACGCCTGCTTACAAAAACAGGCTCAAGGCTTTAGAACTCGAACGCACGGGTGGAGTATCTAACAAGAAGAAGGGTCCAAAGCAGATCGACCAGTATGCTCTTCTATTTATTTAAACTGTCTTTTTATTAGCTGAGAATTGAGTCTTATCACTGATTGTATCGTATTCACAGGAAACTACAGGAAGAGCTAAGCAATGAACTCGACCTACAAATCAAAGGAGCTGAAAAACCGTCAGTCTGGGAACTTCTCGGTGTTCGATTCATTCTGCTACCATACACTATCATCAAGGTTTTTCATGTTTTAAGAAATTGCCACATTTCACAGACTCCTAATCTCTGTTTCTCAAGATCACTGATTCAACTTTCTGTTTTTTTTCTTCCAGCTTCTAGTATGGTACAGCAGTTGGGTATGGAGATATAAGGTTAAGAAAGCTCCTTATTCATGGGAAGACGCATCATACTTAACTCGAAGATCTCTTGGAGTGCCTCTCGACGCATGGACTAATCTCGGTATTCATCTACTCTCTCTTTTCCACACCCTAACCAAAACCCATGGATAAAAAGATTGATTCTAATATAATGTAATGATTGTCAGATGAATCTAGGAAAGAAGATCTGGTGCAGAGAAGGCTATGGGAGAAGCAGAATCTTGAGAACTACTTTGCAGAAATGCGTAAAGAATCGAAGCGAAGAAGATAGGTAACTTATCACTTACCATGCCAGGAGGATACACATGACAAATCCAAGTTCCAGAAGGACTTTTGTTACCATTATTACTCTACTTTTAATGTTCTTATATATCTGAACAAACAAACCAGTTACAAGAAGAGACAGTATAAATTGTACGGTACCAGGAACCAAAACTCAATTTAGCATATACAAGTTGGATCATGTCTGATAATGGGCATGTTCCGTTTTTGACTCTTACCAATTTGCTCAGTAGATGTTCAATTCTAACACGAAAGATTTCAACTTCATGCTCACCCAAGAAACAAAAAGAAACATGTTTAATACGAAAGATTAGACCTTCATGATCACCCCAAAACAGGGAAATTCTTGTTTGTTAATACTATAAACGAAAAGAGATAGGTACAGAGAATACATGACTGAGAACGTTAAGAAAGCTCAGGATATCACAAGATAAGTCGTCCGAGGTTATGGTAACTTGACATCAAAGTGATAGAATCTAAAATATTAAAGCTTGCAGATTTGATTATACATTGCTTTGCTTATACATCTTGGTGTCCAGCACTTGCTTCCCGCACATCGCACACACTCCTGCACAACCACAAAGAGCCAAGGCCATCACTTTTAGAGTTGCTCTATTTATCTAATTAGATGTAAGAAATTTGGTTCAGTAATACAGCAACCAAAATAGACGTGTGAATACCTTTGCTATAGGCGCATGTGTGACAGTATTTACCATCTTGATGCACTTGCTGCTTGCAGATCACGCACTTCGTGGTAGCGGTACCGTATGGTGTCCATCTATAAAGCACAGAAACATCACATAGACAAAGTCAGAAGCAGCAAAGATAACAAAAAGAATGATAACTTTGAGAACACTAAGTCTCTTAAGTCCTTAAAGTCTTAGTTATTCGACAAGTAATACTACAACAGGAATATAGTAGAGTGTCACAATCATTCAATCTGCCTAAACATTAACTGATGATTCTTTGAAGAATCTAGAGGAGACAAACCAATGCTCAGCTTAAAAAAGACAACACAAACATCTCAAAATTTTACAAATTTATCGCTATTCCATGGTGAACTTTTAAATTAACTAGTGATTCTTAGTGGTAGAACCTATAGGAAACAAACCAATACACAACTCAAAAAGAACAATCCAAACATCCCACACTTCCTTAATCGCTTTTTGCCATGATACCTTCTACATCTACTAATAATTCTTATGAAGAGCCTACAGGAAACAAACCAATACTCGCCTAAAACAAAGACAATCCAAACATTCCCAAGCTTACACAACCATGGTTCGTTCCACTTTCAACATTGTCAAAACATAAGAAACTAGCCGAGAAGTAATCAGTTGATGAAAAAGAGTAAGAGGAAGACCGAGACATTAAGAATGTACCTATTCTTCTTGGAGAGAAGTTTGTTCTCGTTGATTTTCCGGCCACCTCCTTCAGTTAAATTGCGAGCACCATCCTTCCACTTATCTGGAACTATCACTTTAGATAACTTCTTCTCACCTAAATAGTACATATTATAAAAAAAAATTGATTCAAAAGGTTCATGCTTTCACAATTAATCACAGATCTGAGAACTCATATCAAGGTTTCGGCCTAAGAAACGAAATCGAATTAGAAATCATTAGGTTTAGTTCCTGAGACATGTAACCAGATTAAGCTATAAACGAATCGAATCAGGAATCATTAGATTATATCCCAACAAAACAATGATTCTGAACATATTGAAACCGAAATTTTGATTGAAGTATATGGATTGATTCGATTCGAAAACGAAATTGAAGAACTGAAGTGAAAGGAGATGAAATTATCGAAGGACTTACACTTATCGCAAACCATTCTTCGTCTCCCGAGAGATAGATGAAGAAACCCTAGCAAGTTGGATTCTTATGTTTTAATTTTGTTTTTCTTTCTCCTTTTTTCTTCTTCAAAGTGGATTTGGAAAGCCCGATGACCGCTTGACGCTAGTCTGTTAAAAAGCGCGACGGAATCGCGTTTTGTTTCGGCGGTTTCAGCAAATAACAAATAACATAGTTGCCATTTGGCAATATGATACTGTAACATTATTAGTTTTTTATTTTATTTAAAAAACATTATTGAAGTTGCTTATATTTTACCGACACGTAAAGGGTGGATACTTTCGATTGTACGTGTGATGGACAAAAGTGTAACTCTCGATTCAAATTATTATTTTTTTTTTTGTTAAATCGATTCAAATTAAGTTAATGAATAGATGTTAACAAAACAAAAAAATGGTGGATACTTACTTAACGAGTTAAATTTTTCGGAAAACGAATCATCAAAATTCAATTTCGTTGTTTATGACGTTATAATTCACTATTTTATGTTTTTTTTATATGTATGATTAAACTTTATATAAATAAAAATAGATCTGAAAAAGAAAAAGAAAAAAGTAGCTCTGAGTCTTACTTTTTTCTTTTGTTTTTCTGTTTTTTTTTGTTCAAATCTTGATTTCATTAGCTTAATCTTCCAAATTACACATGAGAGAATTATCCATCCTCTTTAAACATTACAACAAAGCATAAACATAACAGAAATTAAAGTAGTTATGTTTTCATAGAAGCTTGACAGTGAATCCAATAAGCACGGATGCAACGATAAACCATTCACAGCAAAGTCAGAAAGTTGAAAGTTCGTCACATGTGACTTTGAAATATAATTTACACTTTGAAATTTAATTGTAATTAACAAGACTCATTGCATCTTCCGGTCTTGTGAAGACCACTGCACAAGATAACAATACAGTTAAGAATTGAAAGTATTCTCTCGACTTTACAACCGAAGAAATACTATCTCTCATAAAGAGAAAAATTGGTGAAAAGATTCTCTCCCCGAATGAGGAGGATGGTGGAAATGATCTCTCCGAAATGGAGGAATATGATTCAAATAGTTTATCCATAAAGGAGGACATAGGAATCCATCTCTCCGTCAAAACGGAGGAAAGTATATGTAAAGAAACAAATCTGAGCTGCATTTGGCGATTAAAGGATCTGATGTTTTTAGAAATAAGGCCCAGGCCCATGTTGTAGCACACACCAAAATTTATAACAGAGCACGAGCTATAGCGCGTTACGGGGACGGAGCTGCTCGTAGGAAACTGTCGGATGAGAATCTATTCTTCTGGAGATTTGCTCTGAGATATCCGTTTAATATCCAAAAACTGCTCAGTAACAGTCGGACAAGTGGGAAATATTGGTGTAAACTAAAAAAGTTTGGGTACAGCCAGATCAAAAGTCTTATTTAGAATTTGATTTTTCGTTTAGATGTTCAGAAATCAGAATTAATCAGTTATTTCGGTCAAATTAACCAGTTTAAACTTATTTTTTCTGTTTTTATTAATACATCATCGTTCTAAATAGTAAATAAAAAATAAAATAAACAAAATGCTTGTTTTTGTCAACTAATAAACAAAAATGCTTATCTATTTAAGTTGTAAATTATGGATGAACTATTCCTGATATTTGTTTTTTGCTTTTTAGGACTTTTCTTCTCTAGTTCTCATCTAGCATAGGTGTGAGGGCATCTCCAATGGATCACCAAAAGGTCCAAAACATCAAATTTGGTGTTGATTTTTTTTTAATGGAGCACTAAATCCAAATTTGTTTTGTAGATAGTGTTGCATCAAATTTGGTTGCAATACAATTTACTACACCAAACATCAAAATATATTTTTTTAAATTTTTAATTTAATTAAATTATTATTTATGAGTTAATTAAATTTTGTAGGTTTGGCTATTCAAGTACTGTTCGGATTTGAGTTGAATATGGTCTAAATATACTAATTCTTAGAGTTAAAATAATCTAAATTTTTCTGCTATTTTTATTTTATTAATTATAATTTTTTTTCTTCTTTTTGTCAGCTGATGTAATACTATATTTAATTTGTAGTTAATCTATTTTATGAATAATTAATATTTATCAGAACTACTAAAAATAAAGAAAATTTTAAATATAATAATAAAAAATATTTTTTTTAATGTGAGATTTGGTGTTGTGGTTGGAGATGAAAAAAAAAACTGTTCACTAAAACACTAAATTTTACACTATTCATAATACCAATTGGTGCTATTATTGAAGATGGCCTGAATATATAGAAAGTCTGAATCGCTAAAGTTTTCATCAGGTCAAGCGATTTTTTTAACCTGATTCATTAGACCATCTTCGATAAAAAGAGAAATTTCCCTTCCAATATTCCCTCCACATCACTTTATTCCTCTTCCACATCATTTCATTTTTTAATTTCACACCAAACTCTAGAATACCAAGTCAAATCAATATTTTCATCCTCCAACTCATTTTCTCTTTTCTCCACATCATTCCATCATAGAAAAATTATCATTTTTATTTAAAATTAGAGATTTTTTTGTATGTCCAAATGATTTAAATATAAGCTCTATTTATAGATGTTAAAAAATAAAAAAAATAATTATGCAAAAGGAAAAATTTAAGTTTGATCAATTATTTTATAAAAATAGCATTTTAAAAAAATAAGGAAAAGAAAAAAAGAAAAATAAATAAATAAACAGTCGTCGAATCATAAACAACCACATTATTAATATTGTGGGACCAGTCAGATTTTTTTTGAAGGAAAAATTTGCCCTTCATGGATGAAAAAACACCTTAATTGCTTTTCTATTGCACTTGGTCTTAGTATTTTGTTTTCTTAAATTATATTTCTATTGATGATCATACTGGATAAAGAGTTTACAATCTCTTCATTTTAACTAGCAAATCAAAAGTTCTTTAGAAATCTGCTAGAACCATAGAAAGCACAAGACAATTAAGTGAGGAAGCCAAGACAAGTTAATGCACTATATAGATGTGGAGAACATAAATAAATAAAAAAGCTTAACATTTTTGCCAAAAAAAAAAACTAAAAATAAAAAAGATGTGGAGAACCAGATCTCGGTTTAATGTCTCTGCTTCACTTTCATTAGTAGTTTTTATGTTTCTCGTCACTTTATGATTTTTTCCATATACATATTCTAATTATTAACTTTTTCCATTGTTAATTTCACGCGTCCTAATCTAGTAATCTTGTAAAACTTTAGCCACATGTTAAAAATGTCTTAGCTTGTTAAACATCATGCGCCATTCTATATAAACCACAACTAATTTTGCTAACTGTGTATGTAGTTTCATTTACACACAAAATATAACTCAAAAAAAAAAATCGTGTTCTTTGCTAGAGTTTTAAGAAATGGTGAGGACGGCTCCCATTAGTTTCTTTAATAATAATTTTTCTCACTATTTCTTCTTCTGATGATACGTATTACTTATTGCTAATCAGCTAAAATAAGTTTTCTCTGTAACAAATGAAATGAGTTTGAAGTTTCCTTGGTAGTGAAAACAGTTGTAGAAGGAAATATGATTAATTAGTAGACCCCTCTTATTTGTTTTATTGTTGCTATAGTAAAAGGGTATTAATGCTGATTAATAAATTTGTATGTTGCAGGGGTTGGTACTGTGTTTTGTGTTCCTTTTCATTGTATCGGTAGCGTTAGGAAATGGCCAATTGCAAAGTAATGTTGTTGACGTGACGAGTTTTGGTGCCCTTGGAGATGGAAAGACGGATGATTCGAAGGTAATATTAACCAAAACTAATGCTTAAAGATAAGATATTACTAAACACAAATATAAATATATATATATATATATATATTTCCGGCTTACGAATTGTATTTTAATTTTATATATTTAAGGGAAATCAATTGTTAAACCATACCTTATTTGCTACATGTGATGTTTTGAAGGCATTTCTAGAAGCATGGGAAAAAATATGCGGAGAAAAAGGGTCACAAACTCTGCAAATCCCTATTGGCAAAACCTTTAAACTTCGGCCTATTCTCTTCAAAGGTCCATGCAAGAGCAACACTATCAATTTTCGGGTATTTATCTATCTGTTATAATTTGGCTATCTATCTACATAGATGTGTATGATTTTGTTACTAGTACATATCAAATTTTAAAGATAGGTTGTAGCGACGGATCTACTTTTGTTGTTGTAGCGTAAATGTACGTATAAATGTAAGTTTGGAGATATCACGAATGTTAATACATGGGTAAGTATAGAAGTAGATAATATATATAAATAAACATATATATATAGTTTAAATCTTGTTTAGAGATTTTCTAATTTATTATCATCATTTAGGTCAAAGGCTTCTTTTTAGATTTCTTAAAACAACAAATGTCACCTATATTATGTAATGCTTTAATCTTATTTTTATGTAGCTAAGAACTTTTTTTCATATATGACTGATGAAAACTATATATTCTGCATCATGTCTTAATTGTGCTAATGTATTATATTAAAGGACCAAATTATTATAATTCGTTTAGAATTACCTTAAAAACACTCTAAGACCGGTCTAGAATATATGTTGAGTAATTTTAAATTATATATATATATATATATATATATATTTATGCATTTCCGTCTTAAACTCAGTTGAAATTTTATAAAAATACTACTTCTGTTAATTTTCTTATGTTCTAAATGTAAGATTTAAACTAATTTATCGAAACAGCTACTGGGAAAGATTATTGCTCCGACCAAAAGTGAATGGGGAGGAAAAGGAAATGGGAGATGGATTATATTCAAAGACGTGAAGAATCTCATTGTCGATGGTTTTGGCATTGTCCAAGGAAGTGGTCCAACTTGGTGGAACGTTGTACATTCAAATCGACCCACGGTAATGTAATTTTATCAGTTGAATCTCTTATATTATGAAAAAAGGATTTTGAAAATTCGAAGCTAAACCTTTTTTTTTTTATATATATATATATATATATATATATATATATATATATATATATATATATGTTGCTTCCCAGTCACTGGCTTTCTCAGGCTGCGACAATTTACGATTGAAATCGATTACTTCGATCAATAGTGCAAGAAACCATATCAGCATCAATTCTTGCACTGATGTGACAGTATTTAACGTAACATTAATCGCGCCTGAACATAGTCCGAATACGGATGGCATCA